GAGGGGTAAAAAAGAAAGGAAGGGAACGGTAAGGGAATGCTCAGTGCCGAAACGCTGATATTATTCCACTGTCCTCACAAGCTCTGAATGCCACCAAGAGTGGGCAGAACTTAAAAAAAAAAAAAAAAAAAAAAAAAAATTAACAAAACCAGTCTTGGGACGCTTTATCTAGCGAACTATTGACACCGAGGCGATTGCTCTGTGCATAATTCAGTAACTCTCCAAGATATCGTAGGAACGCAATAGAAGGGGTGAAAAATCGCTTACAGAAAAGAACCCCCCAATATTCGTATTTTACTTGAAAACATACGATGCGTTTCAGGAGCATTAGACTGAGTGCGGGGTTTTTTTTGTTTTCCTTAACGTGATCTTTGAATGTATTTATGAAAAGGTTTGAAGGAAAGTTCAAGTCAAATCCGTCCTTCTATAATGCAAACAAAGACGCATGTCTCGTGGTTTCTGTTTGGTTAATTAGGTGATCTTAAAGGGGACCTTTTCTAGAGTAATCCGAGATTTATTCTTGTAAAATTGTAGTTCTTTCTGAGCTCAGCATGGATGCAATGCTGCATGGCACATCGTGACGTTTTATGGGTGATGGTTTAGCAAAGGTGATCTGAATGTTTCATTCGTAAGTGACTGGATTGCCACAGAACACCACCACCACAAAAAAGGCCTTTGTTATTCTTTTTTTTTTTTTCGTCAGTGAAAGAGGGAGGTCTGACTTTTCATCCCTTTAGAAATTATCCGGTATAAAACCTAGACTATGAATATTAAAAGTGAAAGATCACACCCCGGACACAGGGAAAGCATGTGTTCATAAAAAAACTGCCTGAATGCAACGTGGTCCTCATTCGGAAGGGGCTTCCATCCCACCACTCCGCTGCTCGCAGGATTTACCACCAGCTCCTCTCTCTGCCTTCATCTATCAAACGTGGTCTGTAACTGTTCTCCAGAAATATCACCCGTATGTGGAATACAACAGTAACAAACGTTTTTATTGCAACAGGTTCGGCAGCATGGAAGGACATCCACGGTAAGTAACCTCTTATTTCTTGTAGAGTTTGCGTTGCTTGAAAATCCTGTTCCTTTCCTTCAGACTGGAAGAATTTAAGCTGATGTATCCCTGCTGAATATTGCTACCAAAAAAAAAAAAAAAAAAAAGGGGGGGGGGGGGGGGGAAAGACTGTGTCAGCAATGTGAAGGCTCTCGAGGGGTCGGCTTGTGGTACCATGCCATAATCCTGGCCAGCGTTAAAAGCAGAGGTGCAGCCTCCCCGGGGTTTATGATAGGGTCTGTACAGGTGTCCCTCCTGCTCTTAAGCACTCCGAAGCAATTAGCAGCGTTCCCATTTTAACTCGGCGGGGCTGTACAGCGCCTCCCCGTGCAGAGCCCATAACCTTGGCTACTCCCCCTCTTTTCTCCAGACGGGATTCAGAGCAGAGTCGTGCCTGCCATCCGAAGTTAACCTCGTTTGGCACAGCCCTGGTGAATGAGTGCGAGGGGCTCTGGAGCCAGCCGGGTCAGCCCACGCCGCCGCCGGGGCGTGCCGGGCGGTAGCGCTGATCCCCCGGTACTGGCTCTCTCCGGGCAAGGGAGAGTCAAACGTGGGTTTCCAATGCTGTGAAGGCACGGAGGGGAATGGGGGCCAGAGCTTCGGAGGGCAACCTCCGACCGTAGGGGTTTTGGCACCCCTGAGCTGGGCTGGGGGTGGGGGGGCGGATCCGCCTGCGGCAGGAAACGCTGCTGACCCGCTCCGGCTGCAGGCGGGAGCCGGGCGGGCTTGGTCCTGGTGCTTCAGACTGAGACCGGCGTGCCTCCCCAGGAGGAAAAGAAAGCCCTGCGATGTTTGGCGAGTCATTCATTGCCCTCCCTTCCTTTCTGCCAGCCCCGCTCGGGCCGGGAGCGTGTAGAGGAGCGGAGCTGTGTTTGTTTGCGTTTCTCCCTGCTTCCTCTCCCTGCTCGCTGATAAATAATCTCTTTCACCGCTCGTGCCAGGCTTCTCCTTCTCTTTTTGCCTTACGTTGAGATACATTGGTTTTCGAGCCCTTTAAATACGAACTAAAGAATCGCCTCCAGCGTTGCGGTTTTAATTCTGTTCCATAGGTAACTTTCCTCCCCCCGCAGCTCAGCCCTGCGCTATGTAGATGCCCTTGGCATTTTATTCCAGGGCCGGCCCTTAAAATGTATGGATTACTTGTTTTCTCCCAACGTACATTTAGCATACTGATTATGAACCAGAACACAAAAAGCCTGATAGATCAAAAGCATTTTGTATGGGCAGTTGAACAGGAGGTGAATATATAACGCTTTTGTTCATCAATAACTCTTTGGCTTTGACCTGTCTGAGCAAGTCGTGCAATAAGGTGAAACGCAGGTCACAGCGTCTAACAAATATGAAAATGTGTAGTATTAAGCGGAGCGGGGAGCTGCTGCTGCCCCAGCTCCATCGCTTCTCCCCGGGCAGCCCTCGGTGGGCTTGTCCGCTCCCGGGGGCTGCCCCAAAGGCGAGCCCGGTTTGGGGTGTGTGTGCCTGTTACTCTGCCAGTTCAGCCGGGTGGTTAATACCCCCCCCGCCCCCGGGGGGAGGTATCCCACCTCCTCTCGGAGAAAGGAGGAGAAAAACGGGGCGAGGCGCTTCAAATAGTTGGGTCGAGATTTAAATAATCCGAGGGGGTGGGGGGCGAGGGGGAGAAGAGATTAGGGACACAAAGTCGTTTCGAGTTGCACTTGCTGTGAAGAAGACACCACTGCAGTGCTAAGAAAGCAGATGTTTAAAAATAGCATCCCCCAGATCAGGCAGCTGGGAGTTGGAGGGAGGCAAACAAACCGGTAGACATCGCTCGGATAAACGCAACACCCCCAAATCTGCCCTCCGCAGTGGTTGGATGTATCACACCCGCACCATTATTTGTCCTTATGGTGCCTGTGTTAAATAGTGGAAGGAGAAGAGGTTGACCGCAGGACAGCAGTGAGGAGCTGGGTCAGACACAATTCGTGAACTTTTGTACTCCTGTGTGCCGCTGTCGACAAAGTAAAAATAATGAAACTTTGTGAGATGTTTGGTAAATGATTTCGGCTGACCTCTCGCCCTGCCCTTCACCATAAACGCTACGGCGGGGAGAACCTGGGAGGGTGCGAGGCTGCGGCTGGCAGGCAGCTCGCGGGGATAATAGCTAGACCAGCATAATGGGATGAAGGTAAATTTGGAAACTCTCTTCTTCCCCAGAGCAACTAACTCCAGCCTTTAATCTCCTCTTTTTCACCAACCGCTGTTTCTGTTGTCGGCTCTTTTACTTCTGTTTCGATTTTTTTTTTAATTATTCTTTTTTTTTTTTTTTTTTTTTTTTTTTTTTTGTCTGGGCGGGGGTGGAGTGGATTTTCTAATTATGGAGGATCTCTTCGGATTCGCGTTAGCCTAAATAGATGAAGGCTCTTTTCTAAATTATTTTAACCCTTATTATCCTAAATAGCGCAATTTGACCGGTAACGTCCGTTTTCCGTAGCGAGGACGTAAACGGCAGAGCATTTAAAGTGAGCAGCAGGTCTTTCTGAGAATTTTGGTAGGCGAAATTCATCGCTGTAAATTGCTGGAAAGTTCGCACAGCTCTATCGCAGCCGTAATGACGAGCGTGAATCTTTTCTGAAATCCCACCTTCCTGCAAATCTGTATTTCAGAACTCAGTCCCAGCAGAATAGTTTGCATTCCTCAGAAGACAGGAAGGACTCTAAGAGAATTGCAAAGACCTGCTGCATTGTAGATGAAAACAGAATGTTATTACGTTGTCTATATATACCCTGTAGAACCGAATTTGTGTGATATTCATATAGTCACAGATTCGATTCTAGGGGAATATATGGTCGATGCAAAAACTTCACCTTTCTGCAAATGGTTAGGAGTTTAAATCCTGGCGGAATCAAAAGGCATGTGCGTGCTGAACCCTCAGAAATTGTAAAAGTTTTGCTGCCTCGCTCCTAGTTGTTAGGTTTTGGGACGTCTCTTAAAATTTCAGTTGTCGTTCAGTCGTAACTCTCGCTGACAGACTGTGAATTTACACAGTCCGTCTCACCAGAAGTTACAAATTTTCTGGGGGGAAAAAAAAACCCCAAACAACCAAAAAAAACCCCAAATCCCAAATTATCTCCCAACCAGTGAATGGATCTTTAAAAAGATACTCAGAAACTAGGTAGATCTGCCAGACGTGTGCAAAATTTTTCCTGTCAAGGGTCCAGATCGCATCAAAATATTTACGAGAGCAGCGAAAGCAGCGTTCGCCTCGCTGGAACGTATTTACTTGTGCTCCGGGAATGATATTGATGAATGAAGACCGAATTTCTCTCATTAAACCCGTGATATTTTTAACCTGATTAAACGCCGTCTTCCGTTCAATTGATTGAACTTCGGCGGTGGAAAGCGAACGGTTCCTCGCCATCCGCGTGTTTTTGCACACGCCCCCCCCCACCCGCGCGCGCGGGGGCAGATTTCTGTGACGCCCGCGTGCGTTTGCGTGTGTGCGCGCCGCCGCCTGCACCCACCCACGCACACACGCACACGCCCGGGGGCTCCGAAGTGGGCGCGAAGTTACTGATTGCCTGGTTTTTATTCAGCAGCGCTAAATTCGGGTAACTTTTGGATGACCTCTGCGAGACAAAGGCAGGACAGATCCATTGTACGTCATATTACCCTCCACTTTGACGGCTTTTCTTCTCCTCGCCTCCGTACCGGTTGCCTCCCTTTTAGCCCCGCTTCAGCGCCTGGCTCCCTGGTTTTTGGGTTTTGGGTTGTTTCTGGTTTTTTTTTTTTTTTTTTTTTTTTTTTTTTTTTTTTTATCGCTTAGACGTCCTTTCTTGAGGCTGCAGCGTCTGCCGAGGCGGGGGGAGAGGGGGGTCTCTGGGTTACGGGGATGTTACCGAGTGAAATTGGTGGAAATGCTGAGCTGCGGAGAAATCCGGTGATCGTCTCCCAGCCTCCCCATTGGCCGGGCCGGTCACATGCCCGCCTAACTTTATTCAGTTGACAGCAAGTAGGAGGGCTCTATGGCAGGGGAAAAAAAGACAACACGAGAAAAATTAGTATTTTCTACCTTCAGAAATTAATGGCCATGAGTTCGTATATGGTGAACTCCAAGTATGTGGATCCCAAATTTCCTCCTTGCGAGGAATATTTGCAGAATAGCTATCTAGGCGAGCAGGGGGCCGAGTACTACAGTGCCTCGCAGGGCTCTGATTTCCAGCACCAGGGACTCTACCCACGGTCAAACTACAGCGAGCAGCCCTTTAGCTGTAGCAATGCCCAAGGCTCTGCCGTGCAGCCGCGGGGTCACGGACAGGAGCAATCCGGCCCAGCGAGCCACTTCCCCGGCCAAGCCGAGCATTGTCCACCGCCTCCAATGCCCAACCCGCGAGCCTGCAGCCAGCAGCCGGCCCTCAAAGCCCCAAACGGGTCAGCACTTAAGCAGCCAGCAGTAGTTTACCCCTGGATGAAGAAAGTCCATGTTAACTCGGGTAAGGATCCTCTTCTTACTTTGCTCTTCTACCCTGCTCCCGATCGGCCTCTGCGACGCTCGCCCGAGTCCCTGCCAGACTCGTGGCCGAGCTTTTTAAGCCGAGGTAGCCAATTACACTCGTCATAAATTTTTATTGCCGAGGAAATAGGGCCGTTGGCAGTGCGGGGCTTTGCCGTGCAGGAGAAAACTCCATTTTAGGAGCCTGCTAGGGGCTCCCAGCCTACCTAGCTGCCCGTGCCCGTAGTGCCTGCCCTAAATGAGGGGGAGAGCAGCCCGTCTCCATTGTAAGCAACTGGGATGAATCCAGCCCGGCCACATGCTCGCAGCTCGTAAGGTTTTCTTTTGTAAAGTCGAACCGGCAAGTCAAGATTAGCTTTGTAAAGTTCTCCGTGTTTTTTTCCCAGTGAATCCCAATTACAACGGAGGGGAACCTAAACGCTCCCGCACAGCTTACACCAGACAGCAAGTCCTAGAACTGGAAAAAGAATTTCATTTTAACAGGTACCTGACCAGGCGCCGCCGTATCGAGATAGCCCACACTTTGTGTCTCTCTGAGCGCCAGATCAAGATCTGGTTTCAGAACAGAAGAATGAAGTGGAAAAAAGATCACAAACTGCCCAACACGAAGGGCAGGTCTTCTTCCTCTGGTTCAAACCCCCATTTACAGACTGGTTCCAAGGACCATCAGACTGACTTGACAACTTTGTAGAAGAGGTGAAATTTTCCATTTCATCCTTCGCTTCTGACCAGTACTGTACATAACTGACACTGCCCAAGCAGAACCTGCATGTAGCAGCTAAGGACTCGAGAAACTGTCATCTTTCTTTAAGGTACTGTTGTACAAAGGAGACAAAATGATGCTACTTTGGACTTTATTTTATTTGCCTCTGCTAGCACAACCTAAAAAAAGGAGAAAAAAAAAAAAGGAGGGGGGAAAGAAAGGGGAAAAAAAAAAAGAAACATCATACAGGCAGTGGGAATTGGGAAAATATTAAACGAGACCTTCTGTCCATAAAAAGTAATAAATCATTGAAAATGAAACTGTCCTGTGTTTCAGTTTTGAATTCGAAAGTGAAGGTTCGATGCTTTATTCTGGGATTTTTACTTTTAATTGTCTTTTATCCCATGCAGTTTCGGAAGGATGCATTTGGGCAAGTTGAGGACAGGAAATTTATAGCGTAGTCTTTTATTTGAACAAAAAGACTAGCAATTGTGAACTTTTTGTGCTGCTTTACCTTTCTTGGTGTGATGAAAATACTTGCTCATTTCCATAACGTCTCAGAAGATGTGCATAGGAACTAAGTGAAAACGGGTTATTTTATGTACTGATAGTGTTAGCATATTTATTTATTTGTTACATAGAAGAGTGAAGATAAAAAGAAAAAAACAGTCAAGCCAAAAACGGGGAAGGGGAGCTGAAAGACAGTATTTCTCCTTTCCAGTCTGATGAACACATGTATAATGTTTACTTGTCTTGAACGTACACAACTTTCTTGTCCCTTTTTTTAAATTTCCTTCTTTGTGAATAGGAAAAGCGTCCCTGCTCCTTACCGTCTGCCACCCAGGGCTAACAGGCTTGAAATCTGTTTCCAAGGTCTGCTCTGCTCAGCGCTGTGCTTTAAACCATCGATACCTCAT